GGAGTTGTCTCGCATCGAGTCTTATTACCGAGCGAGGTGGCTCCTCGTGGGAGTTGTCTTGCTGTGGGTTGTGGTATCGAGCTAGTTGGCTCCTCGTGGGAGTTGTCTCGCTGCGGGTTCGTAGTACCAAGCGAGTTGGCTCCTCGTGGGAGTTGTCTCGCTACGGATTCGATGTACCGAGCGAGTTGGCTCCTCGTGGGAGTTGCCTTGCAACTGATTTGTAGTGCCGAGCGGGTTGTCTACTCGTGGAAGTTTTCTCTCCGCGGGTTAGTAGTACCGAGCGAGTTGTCTCGTTGTGGGTTTGTAGAACCGAGGGAGTTGGCTCCTCGTGGGAGTTGCCTCGCAACGGGTTGTAGGATCAAACGAGTTGTCTCCTCGTGGGAGTTGTTCCGTTGCGAGTAGTAGTACCGAAGAAGTTGGCTCCTCGTGGGAGTTGCCTCGCAACAGGTTTGTAGGACCGAGCGAGTTTGCTCCTCGTGGGAGTTATCTCGCTGTGGGTTCGTATAACCGAGGGAGTTAGCTCCTCGTGGGAGTTGCCTCGCAACGAGTTGTAGGACGGAGCGAGTCGTCTCCTCGTGGGAGTTATCTCGCTGTGGGTTTTGTAGAACCGAGCGAGTTGTCTTCTCGTGGGAGTTCTCTCGTTGCGGGTTGTCGGACCGATCGAGTTTGCTGCTCGTGGGAGTTGTCTCGCAAGCCCCCCACTCTCGATTCGACGTGGGAGCCAAGTCGAAAAGGATACCGGATCGTTTCGAGATTAGATTGGTGTTGTGGGTGTACCGTTAATTGTTGGGGTGGTGTGGAGAAATAATAATTTTTATTTATCCGTTTGAGAGCGTGCGCGATTTGGTGAGGCGCGCTGGAGAGCTCGCGCAATTTGGTGGAGCGTGTTGAAATTCTCGTGCGATTTGGTGAAGCGTGTCACAATCTACGCGCAATTCGGTGGAGAGTAGTAAAAGTTGCGCGCAATCTGATGGGAGCGCGCGCTCCAAGGTGGCCTTGGGAAGGCGCGCGCAGGTGCTGCCCCCCAGGCGCGTGTCAGCACGCGCTTCTCTATAACATTTTTTTTTTCTTCTGATGACACGCGCGCGCGTCAGGCGCGTGTGCGTCACGCGCGTGTCTTCTCTGTTTTTTTTTTTTTCCTTTTCCTGATGACACGCGCGCGCTTTTGGCGCGTGTGCGACAAGCGCGTGCCTTCTCTTTTTTTTTTTTTTTGTTTGAACAGAGGCGCAAGCGCGGCTTGGCTGCCCTTTTTTTTTTTTTTTTCTTCATCTTCTTCTTTTTTCTTCTTCTTTCTTCTCATCTTCTTATTTTTTCTTCTTCTTCTTTTTCTTTTTTCTTTTTTCTTCATCTTCTTCTTTTTTCTTCTTCTTTCTTCTTTTTCTTTCTTTTCCTTTTTTTTTTTTTTTATGTTTAGGTGGTTGATGTTCACCCCTTTGGGGATGTTCTATTTTTTTGAGTAGGGAGATTATACTCGTCTTTTGAGATGGGATGTCCACCCACTTGGGGTTGAAAGGTAAGGGTGATGTCAACCTTGGGATGGGATAGCCCCGTACTTTAGAATGAGACGCTCGAGACCTATGGTCTGAAGTGGATGTGCACGGTTGTTCCATTGCTTCAGTGGCAACACGAGTTGAAACTTTCGCGGTCGTACGCTGAAGGTCCTTATCGGTTATCTGAACCGTTAGAGGAGCAAGTAGAAGTTGATCTTGTTGAAGGTTCGGCGATCATACGTTGAAGGTCCTCTTCGGTTATCTGAACCGTTCGAGGGGGGGCGGAGGTAGGCCCCCATGGAGTCGATAACCCATGGCGAACGAAATGTTTTGGGGGCATTGTAAACCCCTAGGAAGTCGATAACCCTTGGCGAACGAAATATTTTGAGGGCAGATGTAAGCCCCCAGGGAGTCGATAACCCTTGGCGAACTAAATATTTTGGGGGCATTATAAACCCCCAGGGAGTCGATAACCCTTAGCGAGCGAAATGTTTAGGGGGAACAGTAATTGAATATTACAAAAAATAAGAATATATCGAATATTTGCGTACCGTTGTTTGGTCAATAATGGTATGAAATTTTCTAGTACCATGTAGTTTATATACATTATTGTTTCTAATGTCAGGAGAAAAATTCAAAATTATATTTTTCATTTGAAGAAGATAAATAATATACATATGTGGTGATAAGATGACGATCAACTATTAATTAATCAAAATATTAACTGCTCAATGGTGGTAGCCTAACATACTTAATTTGTCATTAAATTATTATGAAGATCACAACGATTGTTCAAATGATCCACTGAGTCATCATCCATAATCAACAAGATTAAACTAGATTACTGCAGTCCCGCACGAATGACCCAGCGATTGGAGCAAACGAACTTATATCAATTCACTCAAGTTTGAATCCCTTTCTAAACGGTTGCTAGACCGAGTTTGTCACACATGATTAAACTAGTGTATGTGGTGTACGTTTCTCGTATGATTTGTAAGCTATTATACGAGAATGTATGTTTACTATACAAGAATATAAAGAATACTAAGCTAACCATGTACGACGAACTCGACCTAAAAACTGTTTTGTAAAAGGATTTGAAACTCGAATTTTTAATTAACGAATTCATTTTTATAGAATATTTTAATCCTAGTGTAGACTGTCATCACTCAATCGAAGGTAAATACAATATACGCGTTCCGCAAGAAACGGCCTAATGGTTTAAGCAAGAGAATTTGTATTAAGTGACCCAAGTTCGAATTTCCTTAACGATAGTCGCTAGACCAAACTTATCACATGTGTTTAGTTTAGTGCAATTTACGTCTCTTACCTAATTTACAAGCTATTATACGAGAATATAGATTTATCCAATGCACCGATATAGTTAATTCAATTGTGGATTTTCTTTACTAAAAAATATTATAAAAAATACAATAATATACGTTCCCAATAAGGATAATCTGGCACACTATATGCTTTGGAATTTGCTGGTGTCGTAAGAAACTATGACATCTCATATGTGGTGTCTAGTTGATGCTTTTACATAATTTTATTATATTGAATTAATTTGATCAACCCACTATACATATATTTTATTATCTTATTTATGTTGACGTGATCAATTTTACATGGTCTTCGTATTTATCTTTTTTCTACTATCCGATAGAAATATTGAATAAAAATATATCCAATACGCTATTCCTTTTTTAAGAAATAAAAAATAGGGTAAATTGCAAACACACCCCGAGGTATGATCAATTTACGACAAAACTCCTCTTGTTTGAATAATTACATCTACCCCTCAACTATGTTTTTTTTACATCTCCACTCCTATGGGGACAAATTCAATAGATTTCATAGAATGTGCCCTAGTTTGTACTCGTTTTGTGTAAAAATACAGTTTCTGATGCACCACAATCTGATATATACAAGCCAAAAAACACATATTATGACCATCTTGCTTCAAAATGCGGAGTTTGAATGGGATCAGGGCCGTTCCTGAGATTTTGGGGGCCCTAGGCGAGATTTGAAGACGGATAAAAAATGGGGCCCCTTCTCCAATTTACAATAAAACTTTTTTTTTTACAAAAGATGTTAAACTCTATTTTAACTCGATTTTGTAAGGTACGTAGTCAGTGGCAAGGCTAAAAATTTGTGATATAGTAG